CTCCATTTCTGGCTTTTCTGATGGTTCATTGTAGAGAAGAGTCTCAGGGACTTTCCTGCCTAGGCTGACTTCAAACCTTGGTCCTCAGATCTCAGCTTCCTGAGTAGCTAGGATTACAAGCACAAGCCACTGTTGATCAGCTCTGATGTGAATGTCTTGACTGTCATATCTAGATTGTTACCCTATCATGCCATCCATATTTGGCAAGAAGCCATTGAGCTGTTTTCTTGGACATAGAACTTTTTTTTTGTGTGTGTGAGCAAAGGAGAAAACTTACGATCACCTGTACGTAAAAGCAACCATCATTGCTGGGCGCTGGTGGCTCAAGTTTATAATCCTAGCTATTCAGGAGGATGAGGTCTGAAAATCTGGGTTCAGTCTGTGAGACTCTTATCACTAATTAACTAGCAAAGTCTGAAATAGAGTTATGGCTCATAAAAACAAATAAGGGAACGCAAGGCACAGAGCACAGAGTTCAAGTCCTAATTAAAAGTAAAAAATGAAAGCCACCAGGCATGCTTCCCACCTGGTTCTCTCTCTCCTGAGCTCCCTCAGCCCTTGGTAGTGGTTCTGGAATTTTCCGTAGGTTCTCCTGGCCCCTTATAGGTTATTTCTGTGCCTCACCCTCCCCAGCCCTTGTGCATTCCTCTGTGGCTGGCCCTTTGGTTCATGCTAGGGTATGGCTCACCCTGCCAACCCACAAGTTGTCTTTCTAGGAGGCCCAACACCTATGTGTGTTCCATCAAACCAGCTCCTTCTGTCCTCTCTCCACTCCCATGCCCACCAGCTCAGTCCAAGTGGGGAGGGAGGGCCCATCAGCACCCTGTCCTGAGACCTGGCCCTCCTCCCTCCCCGCTTCTCCCTCCACACACTGCCTCCGGGAGGTGGGGGTTGCAATTTCTTTGCAGACCCAGGCCCTCATTCCCAGAAGCCCTTCTCCTCTTCCACTTCCTCTCAGGGCCCTGCAGCAAAATCCTCCAACATGAGAAAACCTATTTGGCATGGACTGGATGAGAGGTCAAAGGCAGATTTAGAAATTCTCTGGTCCACAGTCTAAAGACAACTTGAAAACCCCTGGAGAGACAAAGTACATGTCAGTGGACATCACCAACAGCGGTGACTTTCCCCTAGGGAAAGAAGCTGGTAGGAGGCCTAAGGAAACAGGCTGGCATCCCTAGGCTAAGGTGTCTGTCACCCCGAGACCACTGGCCATCCCACCTCTGGGTAGAGCGATGGTTCTGTCTTTTCCTGTCACCAAAGGAGGTGAGTGCCAGTCACTGTCTGGCTTAGGTTTAGGACTGGCACTATTATGGCCCAACCTGGGGTAAAAAAGAGGTAGATCCTCATGAGGGAAAGGGAGTCCAAACTATGGGGAACAGAACTAAGGGGAGGCAGTGGCTAATGAGCTCCTCCAATGTAGAGGAAACTTCCAGGCGAGAGCAGGAGGGCCATGAAAGAGGCCACCACAGCGCATGCCCAGCTGTCCAAGGCCGAGGCTGTGGCCTGGTCCAGGCTGTCACGTGATGCTTCACTGGACAACTGGCTACTCCCAAGTCACACAGGATCGATCACCCTACACCGACGCATCTGTTATCCCACTTCATTTATTACCAAAATAGCACAGATTTCCAGTCATAGGTAACATACAGCAGTTGACACAAAGCCAGTACCTGCAGAAAGGGACTGAGTACTCAGACAAGCGACTCAGGTGGAGCCATCAGTAACACCCAAACCGTACCACTCTGTACTTCAAAAATACGCTTTTGAAAGCTTTGGAAACTGAATTAAAATGTCTACACAGCTAGGAACAATTGTTTAATAAAACTTTTTTTCATGTTTCCATTACATGTAAATATATCAATTTGGCATCTCTATAAAAACTCTGAAAATGGTGCAAAAGTTTCATTCTCTTTGAGAAAGCCATTGACAAAAAAATATTCACACTTCACTAAAATTTTGAAAAATGGTCTTCTTTCAAAGCTTCTTTTATTAATCTGAAATCTTCTGAATTATCAAAATCTAGGTTTGCTTTTTTTTCCTTCTAAAACACTCAAGAACATTTATTCACAAGGATTCTACGAGAGAGGGGGAAAAAAAGCAACGGGGAGATGGAAAACTGATAAGGGCTCCCCCTCCCACTCTTTTTTTCTGGAAAATTAATAAGGATTTTGCTGTTGTTGTTGTTTTAAAACTAGTTACATCAACATCTTCCAAAGAACACAATGGCATTCATTTTATTGTTGACTTTTGGACAGCAGTTTCAGACTTTATTGAAAACAAACCCATGTAAAAACAAAGTTAAAATGAAAAAAAAAGGTACCTGAAAAATAAATTATTTCATATAAAACAAATCAATAACTTAAAGCACACTAATATACAAAAGGTCTAGCCATCTACTGTACAACATGGGGGTCAGCTGGTTATCTGCGCCCCTCCCCCCAAGCAAATCACTGACAAGGGAACATCACGTGGGAAAAGGGGGGCCCCCAGCCAGCGGAACCGCCACTTCTCTTCCTAGGGAGGAAAACACAGTCCGCTCAAAGTCTCCTGCAGCCTAACTGAAGATGCTTATGGCTGGTGACTTATAAGAAACAAATCAAATCATTTCCTTCTTTTAATAACCAAGACAAAAAAAAATCCTCAACCCTATCACCAAAAGGTTCTTGGGAATATAATACAATCATTAGAAGTCAAGGGGGGGGGTAATCTCCCTGTTTGGGACCCAGATGCAAATTCTGTTCTAAGATTGTGTCAATCAGTGCCACTCAACAGAAAGCACTTGTGGTCTCACTGTGGCTCAGGAAGCTTGGGGGATAAGCCCCCCCCACCTCCCATCAGTGAAATGAACCCTAGGGGTCTCTCCTGGGGAGATGGGGGAAGGGTAAAGATCTTACAGAGCCTCTTGTCAGCTTCTCTCTCATCCAGTGCAGAAGGAGTTGGTTGCACAAAGCATGCAGAATAAAATCAGGCTGAATCTAACCTGAAATCGAACAGCTGAGTGATAGAACTTACATTTACAAATCTGATATTACACTGGGAGAAGTCCTGTCTTTTTAATATCTTATAGTCTACCCACTGTCACTTGGAGGCAAACTGGAGAAGGTAATTAACTGCCACTAACTATCTCGGGGATCATCTACTTCTGCCCAGTACATGATTCAGCCCCTGAAACTCCTGGGATTTCCTGAACTAATGCCAAGTTCAGACTTTCAGAGGTTAAGGCAAGCTGCCCTTGGCCAAGGAGACTCTCACCAGGAGGAGGCAGAACTCTTCCAGCACCATTCTGCACAGAGCCTCAAAGAAGCCTGACTTTTAGGCAAGTCAGGAAATGTGGTGGCTGTGGGGGAAACCAGTCACTGAACCCTCTCCCCCGGCTCCCCCCCCAAATCCACAACTTGGCACATTACACAGAAAAGCTGAATCAGCAAATAGCAAAGTGAGAACAGATTCATGAGTTTAGAGCTGCCTGAGTAAGGCAGAGTAAGTACCAAGGGGAAATGACATGGGCAAAAAAAGAATTCAACCAAAACCTCTTTGATATTTGCCAAACCACATTTTTGATCAACTACCATTATCTGTTCTTTATTCCTTTCCATCAAATTCCCAAATGACCCCCCCCCCCCCCTGCTCAATACAAATTTGATGAATTTATGTCTGAAGCTTTTTAAGTAATTGTTTCTTTTGGATTGTGACTTTAATTTTCTTTCTGGTCCTACTCTCCTCTCTCCCTGCTCCCCACCACTCCCCAGTTCTGGGGATAGAATTCAGGGCCTTGCATATGAAAGGAAGCAAATGCTTGACCTCTAAGCCATACCTTGAACCTGGGTTTTGAGGACAGTCCCTCTGCCCAGAAATATATACTGAACTCTGAGCCCAGGACCTGCATCTAGTTCCTTGATGGAGTGGAAACTGCAGAGGCTGAGTCCTTCCATACATTGGCAAATTCAAGGTCCCATGAAATGCACTGGAATTTGTAGCTAGAAGTCTGTTGGGAGTGGTGGAGACCATAGAAAGTGAAGGTTTGAGGGATGTGAGAAACTTCCAGGTGGGGGGGCTCCCTCATGAGTGGGTAAACAGGAGGGAGGGGAAGGGCACAACTGAGGAGCTGGCCATAAGACAGAAGCCCCTTGTGGGAGGAACCGGGCTACAGCTGCAAGAATGTGCAGGAGCCAGGGGAGCTCTGGACTGGGAATTCCACATCCACCCAGATGTCGGTCCAAGGAACCAGAAAGGCTTATGTTTCCTGGAAAACATTCTGGTTCTGGGTGAGGAGCTCCTTGGGGCAACAGAGGGAACCTTTGGTGTGAGATCGGGGGGCAACCAGGTCTTTGATTCCGGGTTCTAGAAGGAATCCCCACAGGCTGGCTGAGTGAGGATCTGGAATTTCTGGGGAGGAGCCTGCACAGCACTTGGTCCACTTTTCTAAGATAAAACCTCGGGGCTTGTGGCTGCCTCTTCTGTGACCTCCTGTGAAGGTCAGGGCAAGGGGTAGTTGCCAGGCAGCCTCAAATTGTCCAAGGGCTTCTTAAGATGCTGACTTGCTCTCGAGGCCCTGTGCTTATCTTATCACCCAGGTTTCACATAAATAAATATATAAATAGAGCTAGATAAATAAATAAATAGAGCTAGATAAATAAACAGATAAATTAACTGTCATCATCCTAGATATGGAGAACTACAAAACAGCCGGCCTTTACACCTTTCAGTCTTGTGTCAAGGCTAATAGCTGCTGGTACTGAGTCTTTCTATACAGCAGGTATTTTTCCAGAAGAGCTGCGGGGGCACAGGCCCCTGCTCCTGCACAGGCCTCCCCTCCAAGCCTGCCTACAGCTCTGAGGTGAAGAACCACCAATCCATGATGACGTGTTTCTATGCCATGGACTAAGTGTTTGCTTCTTACTGTCTTACGACTCCTCCCTGAATGCTGGGCTTGTCTGTGCCTTCCCTAGCCAAAAAGAAAGAAAAGAATAAAACAAAAAACAAAACAAAACTCGAGCAAAACAAAATCAAATTTAATGGTCTTAAATGCAAAAGTAAAAACAAACAAAAAACACAAAAAAGCAAAAGAAAATTAACAGAACAGAACAACCCCAAACGTCAAGGCAGTTATAAAGAGAACTTTTGAGGGTTAATCTTTAAAACTACAAATCAAAGGTTTTTTTTTTTTTGTTTTTTGTTAATAGATAACTGGCAAGAAGTACTTTTCTGCTGAGTGTCCATACGAAAGCAAAGTTCCAAAATGAAATCTGACTAAGATAGAAAAAAAGTCTAGCGCTCACAAGGAGGGATGCGAGAAATACAATGCTCAAATGTTTACGTGTTGTTAACAATCAGTTATCTTGCGCATTCGAGCTGTGTTAAATGCTCTTGGAAACAGGAAAAATGGTGAACAACAGTATCCGATGTGTGGGGCACTTGTGCATGCAATGTGGGGACAGAAACTGGGGGTGTCAGAGGAGCAACACATCTTCAGGTGTGCCTGGAGCTCAGGTCTGACTCTGGAATATACTGGAGTTTCCTTGAAACTCTTTGGTCCGTTCCCATTGGTGCCCAGGCGTAGGGAACACCTTTGTGTCCTCAGAAGGGGCTGGGCAGGCCCAGTGGGTGGCTCCCAGTGGGAGCCCTCTGTGGCGGTGACCCACCCGGGACAGGTCTTGTTGCCACCTCTAGGACTTCGGCAGAGCCCGGGACTGAGTGAGCAGGAGGTGGCAGCGGGACCCCTTGAGAAATCAATTTCCTGTCAACCAAAGCATAAATCACTTAAAAACAAAAACAAAAACAAAAAACCAAACCAAAACAAAAAAGAAAAAAAGAAAAAAAAAAGAAAACTGCACACTTGGAATCTGTCTAACATCTTTAGATGAAAAACTAAAACTAAAGGATCGTTGGTTAAAATCCAGTTTGTGGAGACAGCGAGTGACGAGTGTTAAAGCATGCTTCGGTTCCACCACCATCCAGAGGGACTGGTTAGTCAATGCAGTCTACTTAGGTTTCTGTTTAATATAGATTTTAAAGGAAATAACTTAAGAAACTTAAAATTGGTCTAACATTGTGGGATTTCAAACATTTGAACATGTCGGTTGCATCCCAGAGTATAAAAACCTTTTCACTTCTCATTTAGGCTAAGACAAACACTTGTGAAAATTGGCGCAAAATGAGTTGTACACTAACAAAAAAGTTTCAACTTCTTCACTCTTAATTATCTATTCCGTACAAAAAAAAAGCATGAGCGAGTTATTTGTGGGACTTGTTGGTTTTGAAGGAAACCTGTAAGATTTTGTCCCCCAGGCGGTAGCCATTCAGACTTGCTATGGCCATTGCAGCTTCTTCATAGTTTGTCATGGTCACAAAACCAAACCCTTTGCACTTGTTGGTGTTGAAATCACGAATCACTTTCACATTGGTGACGGCGCCAAAGGGGCCAAACATCTGCCAGAGGATGCCCTCATCCGCGTCTTGCCCCAGGTTGTAGATGAAGATGCACCAGCCCGAAGATGCGTTTCCGGGGACATTGACACCAGAAATCCCGCTCATGTGATCTACACCCATAGGGGAGAACCTAGCAAACAGAAAGCACATGTTTAGTGAAGGTGGGTACAGGAGGGCGGGGGCCTTCCTGCTCTCTGTGAGCCAGCTCTGCCCCGCTGGAGCCACTCAAGACTGGGGTACCAGGAGGACTTGAAAAACAAAAGCTGTACTAACTATACAAAGGACACAAATATATGTGGTATTTTTGCCATCTTCACCCTCCACACCCTCTCATTTCCCCTCCCCGATCGCTATGGCCCTCCTCCTACTTTTATGTCTTTTTTTTTTTTTTTTTTTTAAAGCCTAGGCTCTGCAGATGAGCACACACTACACTATCTGAGTCAGAAAGGACCCAGAGGAAATGAACACAGCAGGGAAGGCGTGGGCCCCCTGGTGTGTGGGGAGCAGACTCTGAGTACCCCAGTCACAGCCACCTGACAGAGCCACCTCCACTCCTCCAGTTGTGGGGGAGGTTATGTGTGTGTGGCAGAGGGGGGAGGAGCTGTTTCTGTATTTCCCCCCATTTTAATTTTTGTGGTGCTGGGCCTGGAACCCAAGACCTTGTACTTGCAAGGAAAACACATCACCATTGAGCTACATCCCCAGCCCTGCTTCCTATGTTTTAAATGATGAGGGCTTCTTCTACATCTTCCTATGTAGGTAAAAGCATCCTGGCCAGGCACTGATGGCTCATACCTGTAATTCCAGCTACCTAAGAGGCTTGGAGTTAAGAGGATTGTGGCTCAAAGGCAGCCTGGGCAGAAAAATCCATGGGATTTTATCTCCAATTAACTGGAAAAAAGTTGAACTGGAGGCGTGGTGCACATGTTAGAGCACCAGCCATTAATTAAAAAGCCAAGTGAGAACAAAAGGCCTGAGCTCAAGCTTAGTATCAGCACACACACAAAAGTGCTCTAGGTGTCCTTTGCTGTCAACCTCCCTGGGGGAAACTGTTCACATTCTGTGTGTGTACACAAACATGTACATGTGCTTGTTTTTCAAAGTCCTTCTCATCATGACCCCTTCTCAGAGGGATCCAGCCAGTCCAGGGTTCTAGTAGAACACAGCCGTGCACAGGGCTGTGCACCAAAGGACACAAAGGAGTTCCTTCCCACAGCTCTGGGTTGGCTCAAACCACCCACAAGAATCAGCGTCCAAGTCAGGCATCAGTGGCTCATAGCTACTAACTACTAACTACTCAGGAAGCTGAGATCTGAGGATCATAGTTTGAAGCCAACTCAGGCAGGAAAGTCTATGAGACTCTTATCTCCAATGAATCACAGAAAACCAGAAGTGTGCTGTGGGTCAAATGGTAGAGCGCTAGCTTTGAGTGCAAAAACTCAGGGACAGTGTCCCAGGCCCTGAGTTCAAGCCCAGTAACCAACAAAAGGGGGCAAGGGGAGAACCAGGGCCAAACCACTGAGGGCTGTGAACTAAGGGCCAACTTGACCAATTCAGAGAGCCCTTTCCACAATGATCCTTTCATTTTCTTTTCTTTTTTTTTTTGGTTCTGATTGTGGGGCCTGAACTCTGGGCCTGGGCGCTGTCCCTCAGCTCTTCAGCTCAAGGCTAGCACTCTACCACTTAAGCCACAGCCCACTTCCGGCTTTTTTCTTTTTGCTTATGTGGTGCTGGGAATCGAACCCAGGGCCTCAGGCATGCAAGGCAAGCGCTCTTACCACTGAGCCACCTTCCCAGCCCGATCCTTTCATTTTCTAAAAAAAAACCCAAAAAACCAAAAACCCAAAAGCTAAAAAAACACATGGACACTGTAGTTAGGATTAAGGTATGATCAAATTCTTAGTTTGTTGCCCAAGACATGTCACAAATAGAAATAGTTGTGGCCTTAAGGCCCATTTAAGAATATTGGGGTAAACTGGGTGCCCGTGGCTCATGCCTGTAATACTAGCTACTACTCAGGAGCCTGAGAACTGAGGACTGTGGTTCAAGGCCAGACACAAGCAGAAAAGTCCATGAGCCTCTTATCTCCAATTAATCACCAGAAAACCAGAAGTAGTGCTGTGGCTCAAAGTAGTAGAGCACTAGCCTTCAGCAAAAGAGCTCAGGGACAGCGCTCAGCCTTGTGTTCAAGCCCCATGACCAAGGGGGGCAAAAAATTCAGGAGGAAAAATATTCAGGGAGACAGAATATCTGGAGCTGCAGGATGCAACTGGGGAAGTATTACTTTCCCCAATATGAAACCGGGCTTCAGCCGACAGACCCTGCAGGCCCACTTAGATGAGGGGGTGCCTGCAGGTGCCATTAAATATGAACACCCTCTAGACAGACTGGCAAGAACACTAGGCCCAAAGTAGGGTTGTAGAGTTCTTTTTAACAGAGTGAAGAAAACAAGATATGATGTTGAGAATTGTTTCAAAATCACAACAACAACAACAAAAGTTTAAGCAGTCCCACCAGGATGTGCAAGCTGGTTAATATTCTCAGTTCACAATTACCACTGACATGGATGGGAAAAGGCACCTCAGTGTCTGTGGGAATGAAGCCAACTGTTTTTCTAAAAGACTGGAAGGAAAGCTGGGCACTGGTGGCTCATGCCTATAATCTTAGCTACTCAGGAGGCTGAGATCTGAAGACTGTGGTTCAAAACCAGCACAGGCAGGAAAGGCCATGAGAGTCTTATCTCCAATTAACCACCAGAAAACCACAAGTGGAGCTGTGACTCAAAGTGGTGGACTGCTAACCTTGAGCAAGAGTTTAGGGATTAGCACCCAGGTCTTGAGCTCAAGCCCCACAACCAACAAAATAAATACATAAATGACCAGAACGAGGTGCCAATACTGAGGTCCTGCATCATCAGCCACCCTAATTTTCACACAGCTATTGCAGTCAGCCTGCCCCATCCACCTGCCCCAAATCTGCAATTCAACAAACTTCAGATCTAAGAAGACATATGTAAAACATAAAGCCTGTGTCTGTCCTGAATGTGTTCAAGCTTTTCTTGTTAAGCAATACAGATTACTGACCTATGTGCTATCAAGAGTTATAAGCCATCTAGGGATGATGTGCAGGTTCTAAGCAAATACTACATTCCATATTTGGCACTTGTGGATTTGGTATCTAAGGGGGCCCTGGACCTCAAGGGACAAAGGAGAGTGAAAATAATCTGGGGTATTATTTTGCCATCTTCTTCCCCACATGCTGGGATTACAGGTGTGTACCACCATGCCCCACCCCCTGAAAATGGCTCTCACTAAGGAATCTTGTCAGTAGGTTTTTCTGTTGTTGAGAGTTGATTTCTTAGACCACAGCAGCTATGAATGCCAATGGAACAGAAGGAATCCTGACTTGATTTGGGTCTTTTCTGGATGTGACTGTATCTGATTGAAGCTTCCTGCTCTTCTGGGCCTTTCTTCTTATCTCCACCTGTCTCAGAGATGCCTTCCCCCCTTTCCAGCTGACTTCTTGCTCATCCCTTTTTCCTCTCTTGTCATCGTACCCTTTGGCTACTGTGCCTCTCCTGATGGAGGCAATGCCACTCCCTTGGGTTTCCTCGTTACCAGTTCTGTGACTGTGACCCAAGTCTCCCCCATCATCTCCATTACTCTCCCCTAATTCTCCAGGGTTGTTCCCTACATGCTGCCATTCACCCTCCCTCCTGCCCCAGGAAGGTGCCACTCACACTACCAGACTCCTCAAGCTGGAGTTTAAAATCCAGCTCAATTCTGTCCCGATACCTTCTCCCGCCTCTGTCTTAAACTAGGCGGCCAAAGCAGGCCAGCTCTGGAACTGGAGCCAGCCTGAGACTCTGCAGGACTCCATGGTGGAACTAACACTGTCCAAGACGGCACCAGTGGCTGTGAGCAGATCTACCCAATCCACTGGCTAAAACCAAGATGGGAAATTTTCATCCACCAGAGGCCAGCCCTTGCCACTGCTTGATGTTCTGACAAAACCAATCCAAATCAAACAAAAACATCCCTTAAGCTGGGATCTCCACTGCTCCTGAGGCTCTAGGACCTCAGACCCTGGCATCCAAGTTCTGACTCTATTGTCAGCAACTAGGACTATTTACAGTATGAAAAGACAAAGAAAGCTACTCCCCTCTGGACAGGGCCTTCCAAGCAGCAAGGCAGGTAAAAGGCAGGTATGAAATGCAAGGTGTAACAAGAAAGCGAGCTATGTAGAAAGAGCTGGTATTACGAGCCACTGGCCCAATGTCCAAAACCTGTTTAAAAACTCGAGACCAAGGACTGCTCTCACCGAATCACAAGTTGGGAACAGCTTTTCCCACAGACATGAAGGACCTTTAACCTCACAGCTCGATTGCCCTGACTAGCAGTACAGTATGCGCCCCTCCCTGGAGCCTATAGGAGCTGGTGGCATCTTCTCAACTCCCAACGGAAGAATAAGCAGTCGGTCTTCCTTATTCATGGGTTCTGTGTCCAGAGATTCAATCAACCACAGACTGAAAATTATTTGGGGAAAAAAATTGTGCTTGTATTGTCCTGCCTGTATTGGTAAGTACACTTTTTTCTTGTCACTGTTCTCGAAACAACTGTTCCCCTAGCACATCCACTCTACTCGGTATGAGGTCATCCTGAGATGATTCCAAGCCTGCAGGAGGATGTGCATGGGGCCATAAGGACAGCACGATGACCTGTATCTGTAGGGGTGCTGGCACCAGTCCCCCAGGGACATCAAGGGACAAGTATAAATGGTCAGGGCACAGATTTTTTTTGTGACAAGGGAACGATCCTGAGGTACTGGTTAGGACCAGCCTTGCAGTCTCAGGGTCTTCCAGCATGTATGGCCACTGCACAATAGGCCTCCGTGTAGTGTGGCTGGCCAGGAACAGACCGGCGACATGCCAACCTTTGGACCCACCTGAATCTCTGTGCCTGGTGGTGCACGGGGCCTCCAAACCGCCTTGCGGGCGAGTGGTACAGCTGGGAGAGGAGCGCCATGTTTTTGTTCTGGTTGGGATTGGCTGCAAACTTCACTGTGATGGGCTCGGAGGAACCTGGGGGTTTATGACCATTGAAACTGGTAATTGCCTCTTCTGCTTCCGATCGTTTGTCAAACCGGATAAACGCAACCCCTCTGGACAAACCTTTTTAACAAACCAACAAAAATGGAATTAGGGGGAAAAAGAAAAAAAAAACAAAAGTACTCATAAAAACTGAAAAGCAAAAGTCAAGTCAGTCTACTGTGGTTCAAACTGAACACCTGGTTAATGAAATTAAGAAAAAAAAACAAACCTAAATATGAAAACAAATGAACGGATTAAAGAAAACTAATTGACTAGGTTTCAGACTTCTTCAAGCCGAAGTAAGGACTCTACTGTCTCAGTACCAGAAGATGCTTTGGTGGCAGACATACTGTGAATCAGTTTTTTCAAAAGAAAGCCACCCCAGGTCTGTGTCCTGTCACTACTTAAGCTACCAGAAGCATGGCCCAGCATGGGCACACAGATGAGCTAGTGTGGACCCAAGTCAGGGGCTTTGGGCCTCTGTCCCAGCTGCCTCTGAACACCCACTGTGAGGAAGGAGTGAAGGGCAGGTGGAGGGCACCACTGGCCCTCAGTGTTAGCCTGAGCCTACACCTTTTCCTTCACCTGAGCCCCCTCCCCCCCAAGCTTTTTCTCACCTATACTGTTATCTGTCTCTTGGAACCTCTCTAGTGAGGCCCAGGATCCCTGATCAGTGGACCCTCCTCCCCCACCAGGGTCCTCAGAAACTAATCGGGCCACTTGCCTTCTCTGCAGACAACTGCCCAAGTGTAGACAACAGAGCAGGAACCCAGGTTGAGTCAGGAGCTCTATTTTGGCTCCTGTGTGGGAAGTGTCAGTACATCTCAAGGGGTAGGGGGGTCCCCTCCTCCTGTACCCTGAAGGCAAGCTCTAGTCCCTCATTGGAACCCAAACCCCTCGACAGAGCAGCGTGAGACCCGAGGCTTGACTACGAAGGCAGCATCTGGTCATCCCAGAGGAAGAGCCCAGTCAGCTTTCATCTACTATCCATCTACATTCTAGACTCCTGGGGGGAGAAAATGGGTTAATTCTGTCCCTTGAAGAACTTCAAGAACGAGGCAAAAGTGGATACAATGACAGTGGCAGGGAAGAAAGTGGTTGGAGTCAGGGAGAGGTGACCGTGAGGGACCCGTCTGAGTGACACCTCTGGGCTGGACTCACGGGTGTGGCCCAGCAGGAGAGGCTGCTCTAACTTCAGCTAAACACTTCCTTTCTCAAGACCAGCAAGGATGATGCTGGGGTTCTTCTTCAGACCAAGGCTTTGTGTGTCTGGTGAATGACAACAAATAAAGCAGGACAGAACAGGGCCTTTAGGGACTCACTTTCTGAAAATGGCTTTGGGTAGCTGCTCTCAAGTCTCTTCCTCATCACCTCCCATGCCCCATGAACTGAGACACAGTGTGCCTCCCATGACCACACAAATAGTAGCCAGGGGGAGTCCTGATTCTCACACCCAAACTCTTATCTTTCAATTCTCCCCTGATCACAGCCTACTCCCCAAAAGCCCAGCTGAAGCTGCTTCAACCTCTCAATGACTGCTTAAATATACTTGCCTAGCATGTATGAGGCCTTGGGTATGACTCCCCACAACGCAAAACAAAACAGAACATTTCAAAGGCACCCAACAGGGGCAACCATGGAGTCAGTGAGGTCAGACCTAGCCATATACCATGTGCAAGGAAGGTTCTAGTGCCTTTCATCTTCACATCTCAAATTCAAAGGGAAACCTGAAATCATACACTTGGCTAGCACTTCTTATTCACTCCTATGGGCATGAATGACAGTTTAGTCAGCCATGGAAAACTAAACCAGCTCTAAAATCAGACCAGCTGGGGTGAAATCTGTGCTCTCGATCTTCCAGCCGCCTTCTTCCACGCCTCAAGACCTAAGGCCATGTACACCCACAGAGTATGTGTGTTAAGTGTGGTTTCCTTGTGTGCTTTTACACAGCAATGTCCAATGAAAACAGCCTAAAGGAAATGAAAGAAAATAACTAGGAAAGAAATAACTATTGGGAAAAAAAAAAGAGTGGCTCATGCCCATAATCCTAGCTACTCAGGAGGCTGAGATCTGAGGATCGCAGTTCAAAGCCAGGAAACTCCATGAGACTCTTATCTCCAATAACCTACTCAAAAAAGCCAGAAGTGGCATTGTGGCTCAAATGGTAGAGCGCTTGTCTTGAGCAAACAAAACTCAGAGACAATATCCAGGCCCTGAGTTCAAGTCGCAGGATCAGAAAAAAAAAAAGGGAGGGGGGCTGGGATATAACTCACTGGCAAAGCATTTGCCTAGCAAGAATCCTGGGTTCAATCCCCAGTACCAAAATTAAAAAAAAAAATTGTGGTATTTCATGTAGTAGCTAGAAATTTTTGACAAACTCAAACTTTTTGAAGACGGCTGTGTGTGTTTTTAGTTGTTCTAATGATTTCAGGATTTAAGAGCAGACACCTCACTGGGTGCTGGTGGCTTATATCTATAATTCTAGCTATTCAGGAGGCTGAGATCTGAGGATCGAAGTTCAAAGCCTGCCCAAGCAGGAAAGTCTGTAAGATTCTTATCCCCAATTAACCACCAGAAAACCAGAAATGGTCCTGTAGTTCAAGTAGTAGAGAGCTCACCTTGAGCTGAAGAGCTCAGGGATAGAACCCAGGCCCAGAGTTCAAGCCCCATGACCAACAAAACAAAACAGAGCTGACACCAAGAAATAGCACAATCTCTACACATGGGAACAACAAAATTTACAATGAGGGATAAAGCAAAGAAATAAAAAAAAAATCAAGTTCTTTTGGCTAAGGATGTGATTTTTTGGTTCTGGGGCCTGAACTATAAATGCCAGAATGTTGATTTTTTTTTTTTTTTGGTTGGTCGTGGGTCTTGAACTCTGGGCCTGGGCGCTGTCCCTCAGAGTCTAGTGCTCTACCACTTGAGCCATAGCACCACTGCCGGCTTTTTCTGCTTATGCTGTGCTGAGGAATCAAACACAGGGCCTCATGCATGCTAGGCAAGCACTCTACCACTGAGCCACCTTCCCAGCCCTGGATGTGAAGATTTTTAAGGAACACCTCAGCTTCTTTAACCTCAAACATATTATCTGAGGGTAAACACACATCCACCTGTTTCACCTGTGAGCCCTGGGCCTTCTAAGGGCAGCCAGCTTTCTACAAAGTCCTCAGTCCTGGGGCAAGGTAAGTTTAGGGGAGGGGAGCCCTGGGATGATCTTCTCACGAGGCAGAGAGGGGGAGGGGAAGTGAGATTTTGGGAGGAGTTCCACCTCTCCATACGCAACAGCTCTGGCCCTTGGCTGGATGGAGAGGCCATGGTAGAGGGGGCTGGGTTGGGATCTGGTAGAGAAGGGGTAGAAGCAGATTGTATACTTGCTTAGTCACCCCATGTGGATCCTCTGACCTAGGGAGAAGTAGGAATAAGCCCAGGCGTCACCAGCTGGCTGATCATGTCAATATGTAAGAGGGACTTAAAGGACCACCAGAAACTCTGAGCGCAGGCCACAGAGGCCCTGCTGAGTAAATGCACTTCACTGCCCCCTCAGAGCAAAAGGATGCCGTGGGAGGGAACTCCAGCGCAGACTGGGAAAGAGGAGTTGTCTATGCTAGTTAACACGATAGTACCTGCACTCAGGCTATTCCACTTCTCTAGGGTCTAGCCTAGGACTGTGGCCTAGCAGCCTGCCTGTGGAACAGACACTGCTAGGTGGAAGAGGGCAGAACAGCTGACAAGGCTGCTGCCCAACAGCACAGGAGACATGGCTCAGAGCACACCTGCCCCAGCCCAGCCTGTGTCAAGCTGGAGGCCCTGCTCACACCTTGCAGGAAACCTGAATGAAGGCTTGCGTGGTCCAGCCTGCGCAGCCCACTCAGGAGTGCTGCTGATCTGTCAAAAGGGAAGTGGTCCCGGGCACGCATGGCTCATGCTTGTAATCGTAGCTACTTAGAAGGCTGAGATCTGAGGATCACAGTTTAAAGCCAGCCTGGGCAGAAAAGTTCCTATGAGACTCTTATCTCCAATTAACCACTCAAAAACCAGAAGTGGCACTGTGTCTCAAGTGGTAGAGCACTAGCCTTGAGCATAAAAAGGCTCAGGGACAGCTTCCAGGCCCTGAGTTCAAGCCCCACAACCAACAGAAAAAAAAAAAAAAAAAAAGGGAATGGTCTCCGAAATGGGGCTTCCAAAGCCCAACTACCTACAGCCAATGTGGATATACAGTATGGGAAAAATGTAAAAAAACTACAGAATACCCAGTGGGAGGAACTGGAGGCATGGCTCAAGTGGTAGAGTGCCATGAGCAAAAAGGTTGACA